CCCCCCCCCCCCTCCTCGCCGCGGCTCAGATAAGCACCAGCCCCCCCCTTTTCCCTCCCCAGCGGCAACGATAAAATTGAATACAAAATATAGTTAAATTATTAATTTTAACAAAATCGGCATAGCTGAGACACGAACCATTCTAAATTTCTTTAGCCGAGATTTTAACCGAAATATTTTAAGTCTGTGCTAAATTAGTCAAAAATGGTTCGAATCTCGGCCAAACAAAAAAATTCAGCAATTTTAAAATTTTAACAAAATCGGCATAGCTGAGACACGAATCATTCAAAATTTCTTTAGCCAAGATTTTAACCGAAATATTTTCTGTGCTAAATTAATCAAAAATAGTTCCATCTCGGCCAAACCAAAAAATCCAGGAATTTTAATTAAATTTAACAAAATCAGTATAGCTGAAACACGAACCATTCTAAATTTCTTTAGCCGAGATTCCCAAAAGCCGAGATAACCAAAATATTTCAAATCTGCGCAAATGTGTAAAATTATTTGTATAAATAATAAAATGTTTAAATAAAACATGTAAAAAGTTGAAAAAAATTATTGATACAAGTAATTTCTCAGTTTGACCAAGATTCAAAACATTTTTGACTAATTTAGCATAGATTTCAAATATTTCGATTGGAATCTCGGCTAAAAAAATTTAGAATAGTTTGTGTCTCAGCCGATTTTGTTAAAATAATTTAACTATACCTTGTATTCAATTTTATTTCTTATGCATTTTTGTCGTACTTGTTGATGATAGGAGTGAGAACATTAAAAAGCTATAAATTGCCCGTGAAACTCAAAGTGGACCAAAATGAAAAAATATGATCTAAATATTTTTTGTACTTCTACATTTGTGTCAAATTAGAAAAAAATCGGAGTGTATTTTTAGATAGGTTTACTTGTAAGTCATATTTTCGCTTATAATGTTAGATGATTCATCCTGTTATATAGATTCAGTTAATTAAATTAAAGAAAGTGAAAAACCAATATTTACTTTCTTCCCTGCGCGTTTTTAGAGGACCAGGTTTTACTATGATATAATAAACGCATTTATCTCTCCCTCTCCTTTGTTTCTTTCCAATGGCCACTTGCCGATTCGACGACGCCACGTTGGACGACGATGATTCCCCGACCGCGATGTTATTTGTTCCAGAAGAGCAAATAAGACGCGTCGTTAGAGCTCGTGTTCCAAGGCGCGTAGATGTTTTTCCACGGTCTCTCTGGGAGAGAGAACGCCCTCTCCGAGGAAGAGAATCGTATCGCGAACTTGATTATCGCGAGAAAAAATATCTGAGGAGAAAGCGACATTCGAGTGTCTTTCCTCGGCGACTTCCTTGTATAGGCTCGCGTTGCCTTTCTTTCCAGTCTTTCCTGATTGATTTGCAAAATAGAAAAATCCTCCAACAGCGAGTCCAGTTGACCAACTGGCTGCCTGCCTGGTTGGCTGGCAAGCTGCGGTGGATATCCTACACGAAAGCTATCAGCGGATATTGTTTTTGTTCAACCGGGTACTGATCAACCGTGATCCAGTTACGAGCTGCGCGATGAACGCAATCATCATTATCGTTCCATCGTGCATTATGCGAGGCTACCTCGGCCGGGTATTATCCACGGTGATAGATCGTGTTGCTCGATGCATCAGGCGCGTCATGGCCGAGTGAGTGCGCTATCGCGTACACGCGCGGATCAGCTGTCCGTCGCGCGGCGCGCCGCGCCGCGTCGAAATATTATTAATGGCAGAAGGGACTCTTTTGTTCGTCCGGACTGTCGTTGTTATCGCTGCCGCGTTTCGGCCACGTTCCGAGCCTGTGTATCCGAAACACACATGTGTCGCGCCGTCGGTTGCCCGTGGACGCGCGCGGCGCTCGAGCCGCGATCGCGCTCGAGGATTCGCGATAACGCGGAGGCAATTAACTAATTTTCTAATTAACCCCGCTCCAAGATACCATTCGCTCGGGAGCCCGTTAGCGCGCCAACGGTAATGATAGATTCCGATAATTGGGACAATTTATCGCGCATCCTAATGATCAATAATAATGAGAGTCCGCCTCCCTATCTAATTTATCTATCAATTTATTTTCATTTGCGTAATTTATCTGCGTGATAATCTATACATTACGTTCCTCGATGATTCTAGTAATAACGACACGACTAATTGAACTCAAAAATGGAAGAGACACGACGCGAGAGACTGCGAGACGAGGGGGAGAGGAGTTGGCGAAGAGTGAGGGAGAAGGGAAGGGAAAGAGGAAGTTTCGCCAGCGAGAGCCGCCGGCGAGCGTCGTCTAATCGCCGCGGAAATTAATCGGTCGGCGGGAGACAGTGAGCAGTCGAATTTGATGGAACACTCGGGCTAATCGATCGCGTGCTAAAAAGCAGCTCTACCGAAGCCTCACGGGACCAACGGGTTCTCGGCGTTACGATTAATTAATGTAAATTGCCTCTGGAACGCGCTGTAAGCCAGTGACAATGTGCAAGATCACTGAGCTTGCGATGTAACCGTTAATCGTTGAGCTAATCGATTCTCTCTGCATCCCTCTGAACATGACGGCTGTATCTGTGATTATATATACATGTGTATATATATATATATATATATATATATATATATATATATATACACATATATATAGTATATACCTAATAGAGTATATATATATGCAAAGACCCGTAGGTGGACGCGCTCGTTCAGACGCATATATCCGCTTCTCAGTTCCAGATAAGAGCAAAGAGCCAGAATCGAAGCAATTCGTCGGCCTGGTGATCGGCATCCTGACGACCGTGATCGTGATGCTGCTCGCAGCGATCACGTTCATTTTCTACAGAAACCGCAGGCTCAAGGCCGCCCTCGCGCCATCGACCTTCTACGATCAGCAGGGTGATCATCTTAAGGTCTGTGTCTACAGTTGTGTCTAACCAATTGACAATTTGCACGTGATATAATCGCTGCTTCCTCGCGACACGCGTCGTTATCTTCGATTTTCGCGCGAACGTTTAAGCCAAGTGCGAGTACAGATCTCTACCGAGAGAAAAAAATTGGTAAATCTTATCATATGGTAGTTATCAAATCTTGCAATCACACTCACTGAATTATAGTTTCTCTCGACGTCAACTATATTTTTTATGGCTCTACCGTAATGTAGTAATAATAGCAATATGCATACGCTGAGAGAAAATATTTAAAGAATAAAAAATATTTATAAATATTAATAAATATTTTTTATTTAATTAAATACAAAGCAAAAAACGTTGAGAGAAGATATCTAGAAAATAAGAAATATTAATCCCATGGGTATACTAAAGTATAGCATATTTAGTTAAAAATTCAAATTTTCTTTTTTAAATATTAAGTATTTAATATCTATAAATATTTTCATAATTAAATTAAAAAATTACTATTTTTATAATTAGTTTATAATTTAAAAATAAATATTTTTTATTTAATTTTATAAAAATATTCATAAATATTAAATACTTAATATTTAAGTAAGAAAACTTAAATTTGAATAAATATGTTACTTTAGTATCTACTCACGGGATAAATATTTTTTATTTTTTAGATATCTTCTCTCTCAATGTTCTTTTGCTCTGGAGAAACATTTGCAGTGCTATGCAACGAAATAAAGAAACACACCACGAAAACTGCATTATATTAGTATCCAGCGTCCCCTTAATCGCCGTGACGCGCAATTTCGTTTCGTGCTCTCATTGTTTCAAAGAAAATATTGGTTTGTGCAACAAATAGATTTGGATTTTTCAGGTACGATTGAACAATTTTATTTTTATGCCGTTATAATTTAATGATACAATGTATGCACCGTTTTGATCTGCAATCTTTGCCATATTTCGCGAGATTGTAACGGCATGAAAATATAGTTGTCTTATTTCATCTGAAAAAAATACCTAAAATTATTTATTACATAACCCAATATTTCAACACGGTGTTTTATTCTGTCTTTCTTTCTCTCTCTCTCTCTTTCTCCCTTTCTCTTGCGAGCTTTTACATCTAGACCAACGTATGTAATAGGTAGGCAGCTATAAGTTGTTTTGCGCGATTGCTCAAAAGCGCCGTAGAGTGAATGGAAGCGTCGAGCAAATAGATGCGCCTGTTCGGTTTATTAGATCCAGAGGCGAGACTCCGATGTTAAAGCAGGTCGGCAGTCGTCGTCGTCGTCGTCGTAGTTGTAGTCGTAACGCGGAGAAAAATTGCGAGCGAAGGACGAGATCGTCGTCGTCGTTTAATAAATCGTCGAGATAACACGATCGCCGCCGCGAAAAGGAAGAAGGAACGATTGTTCAGTGTCCGGTTCCCAGACCGCGCCCAATTCCCGTCCTCGTGCTCGACGACGCGCGATAATTCGAGAACGGCAGGCTCGTATCATGGATTCTAATGAGTACTTCTAACATCTTTCACATTCGCATTTCGCAACAGAAACAACCAAGCCAGATCTACACTACGAAAATATTATGTTTGACAAGGTTTATTTGTGTCGTGGCGAGAACAAGAAGCAATTTTTGCAAATAAAAATTTTATTCTTTAGTGCACTGACACGCTATTTTCATTCTGTAAGAACATTTGCAGTGCACTGAGAAAGAAAAAAGATAGTTGACCTCTAACTAAAATTATTATTATTTTCGGTCACAACTACATATTTTTTGGTCATTCTAACATGGAAATGGCGATAACATGCATATAAGTTTATCATTGCTAACATTATAGTAGAATTTAATGAGAGAGAGAGAAAATGCTGTTCTTCACCATAATTTAATTATTTCTCTATATAATAACAGCTACAAACATCATATATTTTTAGTGTATATTAAGATAAAAAATACATTGAGAAAGAAAGATCTAACTAAAATTATTTAGCTCCAATCTTTTTTAATATAATTTAACATAAAAATGATAGTCAATAGCATGCATATAAATTTATTATCACTAACATTATAGTAGAATTCAATTAAGAAATGGTCTCCTCGCTCATAATTTACAGTGATTATTTATTTATGTGATTATAGCTACGAATATCAAGCATTTTTTTTCTTTCTCAGTATGCACAGCGTCGGATAGGAAAACAGCGCAAACTACGAAAACTGCATCATGTCGGTGCCCAGCATTCGTTTAAGGGACGCTCCGAGATTGTTCACGGCGCGCGATTAACAACCGTGTGCAATTCGCGCGGATTAATCTCGTCGCGTATTTATACGGAGAGAACGGTGACGGCGAAGGGAGCGCCAAGTGACGGCAATTAGCGCGATTAAACGGCTCGATTGTGCTAATGCGCGAATTTTATGCGCGCGTTGAAATCCCCTCCTATGCGAAACACACATCATGTTTCGCGCGAGAACGAGCGGGAAAAATGGCGAAGGGGGAACACCGTCGTTCTCTCGCAGCGAGCGCGCGTGTACCGGCGACGACGATATTTTTCTCCGGCATTCGCGCGCATTCCGCCACCGCCGTCGACGACGACGACGACGACGACATCGTCGTAACGTCCTCTCGCCGTTGAAAACGCTTCCCGGCGAAAAAGAGACGTTTCGGCCTCGCACCTCGTCCTAACGCGGACGAGCGTCTAACTTTGTCGTAAATTCCGCTCCGACTCCTGTCCTACGGAACAACGAGAATTATTAACGTCGCGCGTTCACCGTTCTCCTCCCTCTTCTCTTTCCTCTCGCATCCTCTTCCTCTGTCGCCTGCGGACAGTTTCGCGCGACTTCCACGAGGCACGGTTTATAACGGAGGAACTCTGATCTCTCTTCCTGTGTGTACTCGTGCGCGCCGCTGACCCAGTGCCGAAAACAGGGCCGTTGCGCGCGAGGAAGATATTTGCCAGCTTGAGGAGAACGCGGAGAAAGGCGTGGAAAAAGGCGCCGAGAAGGGCGGAAAATCGACGGACGTGTACGCGTGTTTTATGTTCGATTATCATCCCGCTTGTCGTCCAAACGCGAAATCGCAGCGGCGATTCGCGACGATTATTGAATGCGCCAGGATAACGAGCCAAGTAGTAAAGAGAGAGGGGGGAGGAAGAGAGAGAGAGAGAAAGAGAGAGAGAGAGAGAGAGAATTTGTCAAGAAGTCGTTTGCGGCAGACGAGAAAGCGAAGACGAAGAAGAAAACGTTAGTTGGAGAATCGTTGGTAAGGGCGGAGGAGGGAGAATCGAGCATGTTACGCAAAAAGTTGATACTTGGCCGACTGGAGAGCAAGCCAGGGGAAGTCAACGCCGACAGAGAAAAGAAGGAAGGAAGGAAAGAGTGAGGCCTGGAAACTTGGCGTATGTTTACCAACCCACTGTTGTTCTAACCGGATTAATAGCGAAGTGAAGTTCGTCGAAATGGACAGTTCTTTCTTTCTTTTCCTTCCCTTGCGCCGCTTACCCATCCTTCTTCCCGGAATATAACGGAAGACAGTAATTAACGACTCGCCGAACGATGAGAAATAATGAGTGCCAGACAGTTGAGCTTGCGAACTCCTTGCTTCCCCTCTCCCCCCCCCACCCATCTCTCTCTCTCTCTCTCTCTCTCTCTCTCTCTCTCTTTTTCTCTCTCTCACGTAGCTCTTTCCTAATTTGACAATTTGCACGGGCGCGAGGGCGACTAGAGAAACGTACGGAGCGCAACAGTCGACGATTAATAATGACGTTAACAACCGATCGAAACAAATTGAAGACTCGGCGAGCGCGCCAACGGCATTAGCTATCGGCTAATTAGTCGCTGGAAATATTTTACCGGGTATTCATTATTAACAGTGATAAGTGAAGGGAGAAGTCGAGCGTTCCGCGAATCGAAAAAAATCCGTCGGATGAATCGTGTCTATTATCGTAAATCCGACACGAGTCGATCTTAATTAAAATCTTAACACACGGTGAATGTGCAAATTCATTCTCCACACAAACTGTCATTTTTATCTCCTCGACGCAACTTCACCCGCTATTTTTCCTTCTCTTTAGGACGAAATTGCCAATGTTAATAATTTTGACCTGCACTTGGAATGATCATTCTTGCTAAAGTTTAATAATTTCTACATAATTTACTTTTATATCCCGCAAATATAAATGTTGAAACGTCCTCTTCTCAGTGCAAAGTTTCACGAAAATGTGTATTGTGTTATTAGCGTCGTGAGAATTACCGGAAATATTTGACATAGTGTCGACCAACTACCCAAGCAGTCAAATGCGTCCTATAATTTCCGACCTACCCACATAGGGAAGGCACGAGGACGTAAGCGCGCGCTTATAATGTCTCCTGCCTGGAAGTCCCGGCTGCTGGAGGCTCGAGCAGACGCGCGCGAAGTCTCACGGCCGTACATCACTCAAGATATTCTTCGACAATATCGTCCCCAGCTAAGTTTTTACCAGCCACCACAAGGAGGAGGAAAAGTAGGAGGAGTAGGAGGAGGAGGAAAGTGAACGAACGCGCACGACTAGTCGAGCTGACTCCACTTAATTAAAAGAGCCGCTGGGATGGTCGTATTGCGACGTCGTTGTCCTCGTCGCCGTCGTCTTCGTCGAGAAGACGTGCGTTATCTTCGTCGTTCGCCCGCCACTAAGCGGCGTCATACACACCCCGAGAGAACGCCCTTCTCCTCTTCCTCCTCTTTCCCGGCCACCTCCACTTCGTTTTCTTCTCGCTCGACGATCTTCTCGCCGGCCGAGATCTCCATCCCCCCGGCTACACGTTTCACGGCATTAGCCACCTGCTACTTGTCCCGTCTTGAAGTTGCGCGAGCCAGCCAGTCGCCTGGTCGTCCCCGCCTCGGCGAAATGACCCTATTGCCCTTCGCGCAACCTGCGACCCTCGTCGGGCCGGCGAGGTACGACCGAGGGACTACATCTGCCAGGTATAGGAAAAGCCGCTGTCAATTTATCGAGCGGCCCGCGGCTTGGCTTCGCCAA